GGATTACGATTAAGTATTGTCAACAGGTTCGGGCGCAACAGCAGGCATCTGAAGTTTCGGTGATTGAAACTGGTTATGTGGGTACACTGTATGCATCTGTGAGAAGGCTATGAAGGCTGGTCTGAGGTAATTTGGATGATGTTTACGCATCTCGCGCTCCGGTATCAATCCGATACGGTGATCTGGTGCGTAGATATGCCACCGCCAATAAACTTTTATACATCGACACCCATGAGCCAAGCTTTCTATACAGTTTGTGTGGCAGCGGCCCGACCAAACCTTAGGTATTTTTTACACCTTCAAATTTGGTAAAAGAGCGAGAGGAGCTTTGAACGGTGATCGTATAAAAGGCGTGCCTAAAAAGCGGAGGAAAAGGTTGTTTTAAAAAATTTCGCGCGCCTTCGGCGCAGCATTTCAAGAACACTTGACCTTTTGTGACCTGGAGTATAAAGAATACACACGATGCAAAATCAATGCAGCACGACCTATACGAGGTTACGCAAAAAAAAACTGGTGGCATGGTAAAAAACGCCTCCCAACCCCCCCCCCCCCCCCACCCCGCTGAGCGATTTTTTATCTCGCGACCGTATGGCGCCCTCCTTGGGTGAGGTGGCGCCCTCCAAACCCTTGGCCCCCCCCCCTTCGCGATTTTCTAAATACGCCGCTGGTTAGGAACCAGGGATGCGGTGTCTAACGGATTTTCAGTGACTCGCACTCCCGCTCTGTCTTCCAAAATGGACTCCTATTCCGGCCAGAACTGCCAACTCCATCAGACTCCGACTCTGACTCCGTAGCACTGCTAGAAACCACAGCAGGTCCAGTGGTTTGAATCATTACCCAATCAGCAAGCTTCATTGTGTGACGTCATTTGTGTGCTAGTCACGGCGTCAACCATGAGAAGATCAAAAAGCGCCACCTTGCAGGAAAGCCGTTAGATTTCAGTTGGCGGCGGCGTGCCACGTGGTGCGTGTGCGGTGTGAGTGATGGCAGGGCTTTTTTTTGAATTTATGTGGATATAGTGGCGCCGAACGTTGTTCGCAGTGTACTTCTTCAAGTGATTGTGCGTTAATGATAATGTTTAGCTTTTATTTGTAGCTTGCTCCGTGTTTATTCAAATGACGAGGCGGGCGGTACTCGGTGAAATTTGAAGTCTGGAGTGAGGATGACAACACAGCATTGCACCATGGAAACGAAAGCAAGTGAACTGCGGAATAACATCAGGTTGGAGATAATCGACGGTTAATTATCATTGCTGAAATGCGAGCAACTTCTCACTGTGAATGGACCCGATGTGTTTCGGTGAGTTTTCATTGGATTTCTCCGTAAATATAGGGCCCATATTTTTTGTACTTTATAGTTTGTTGCTGTATACAAGATAGGAATGCCATTGTATGCGATATGCCTGTTTGAACCAATAAATGTAAGAATGTGTCGACACCTTTTTTGGCATCCAATGGACACTCTCGTAACACCTTTAAGGGTGTGTACCAAACTGCACCTCGCTGGGGTGTCAGACGGGTGTCACTTTTGACACTAATACAGGTGTCATTGGGAATCAAACACCGGGTGTCTGACACCCTTTTGGGTGTGCACCCAAAAGGGTATCAGACAGTGGCGCAGCCAGGATTTCGTTTCGGGGGGGTCATCGCCTCCAAAGCGGGCCCCCTAGTGTGCGGGCCCCCCACCCATTTTTCAGAATCTTTCCATATTTCATACGCATTCTGCTGAGCGGGCCCCCTTTACCTGCATGATAACCGTGAGCGAGTTTGAATCGGAAAATTTTGATAGAACAATAGCTCGGTAATCACCCGGTGTTCAATTTCCACGTGAATTGACCATGACAGAAATATGTTACTATGACGTATGAATTCGTATCTTTCGAGGCCGAAATGTGCCCCTTCCGCAATATGCATAGCATATATGCAAACGGAACTGTTGTCTGCTTCTGTCGGACAAGATTTAAGCAGTCCTACGTGCCTGTCCTAACTCAGTCATCTATTGGCTGCTGTAGTAGATTGTGCTTTATTCTTCTTCATTACGTGAATTCGCTCACAAGCAGTTTTAACCTTCGCCGGCACAGGGGGAGGGGATGATGCAACCTCCCCCCCCCCCCTAAGGTTTTTCGCGAATAACTCGGGTAAAAATCGGCCGATCGCAACCAAACTTTCAGTACCCTCGCGTTGATCAGTTTTACACCTACCCTAGAAATTTCATGACCCTGACCCAAATGGCCTTTGACCTGTGACCTACTTTCCGAGACCATGTTTGGCCAGAATCGCGATTCGGCGTATGCCGGCTCGCACTAGCCGCGCGTTTGCAGTCTTTCCGTGGTTTCAAGCATTCAAACATGTGAGTTGATGCTGCTCCCATGCATTAAGGTGGATGTCAAGGTCACCTGAAGGTCAGGTCAGGTCATTGACCTATGATGACCTCGGTACTTTTTTCGAATTATACATGTTTCCAGGCTAGTTTTTGGAGCTGTATCCGAATTTAGCAACCATTTGAACATTTACGAAGTAGTTTTGGTGCCTTCGTAACATGTTACGAAGCTGCCAGAGGCGGCTGGCACGTAGGTACTACGAATACCCGGCAGGACCCCTACTGGTTGACCTGACCTGACCTGACCCGACCTGGCTTAAATGCATAAAGACCTCATCTGTTATCAAAACTAACATGATAACTATTCATGATCAGTACCCCGAAAAACCCTATAGCAGCCACAATTAACGACGTTCTAACAGGTCCCGATTTTCCCGATTTTTCGGTCATTGACCTGACCTGGAAGGTCAACCAATGAACAAGAACCTTAAAATTGGGTATCGTCGGCTTCCTCTCGTCACGGGGAACACGCTCGTATTTCCCGCGAAGCTCTAGCTCGATCATGGGCCAAACACGAAGGGGTCGTACCCCCCCCCCCCCTCTTGTGCCGTCGAAGGACGCAAAATGGCCGGAATGGCCTGTGCCGGCGAGGGTTAACGCGCTCATATGGGACATGTATTGCCATGGGCCGGGTTTGTTGTCGCGTGGTGATGTGGTGACGTAGCTTCTGTCTGCTATCGTGGTCCCGGCATGGTGTTACTTAGCGCGGGGTACGGGCCCGACCGTTGCGCCAAGTGCGCTGAAATTTGCGCAACTTATAGACACGGGTTTTACTGCATAACCTGGTACGTTTTACAGTTGAAAATGGCATAGTTGGAAAGACCATTCAATTTTGTCCAAAATCCAATCATCGCTTTTGCATGACGAGCAACAGTATTCTTAAAAATATAAATGTTGGAAACCTCTACATAGGAATTCATCGATGGCTGTCATTTTTCAATAACCTACGTCAACCGTTGTTATAAACTACACATGACATGTTCTATAGTAGAACGCATGCTTATCAGACACGAGCACCTCGATGCAATGGATATTTTTTCCCAATCCAAAATGCTTAGCCGTCAAAAAGCAATCAACCGAAATGGATACATCACCCACGGACACAAGACCAACCAAACGCCCACCGATCGAAAATACCCCTTATTCGCTTTGCGGAGCAAGCGGGTCACCCTAGCGGGCCCCATTCAACCAGGGGCCCGGGCCCTATCCATACGGGGGCCCGGGCCACGTCCACCTGGGGCTCCGGGCCCCGTCCACCCGGGGCTCCGGGGCCCGTCCACCAGGGGGCCCGGGCCCCATCCATCCGGGGGCCGGGCCCCGTTCTCCCGGGGGCCGGGCCCCATTCACCCGGGGTCCGACGTCCACCCGGGGCCCGGGGCCCGTTCTACCGGGGGCCCAGACCTATCCACGGGGGTCCCGGGCCCCATCCACCCAGGGGGCCCGGGCCCATTCTCCCAGGGGCCCGGGTCAATTCTCCCGGGGGACCGGGCCCGTTCTCCGCGAGGCCCGGGTCCGTTCTCCAATCTCCCGGGGCCCGGGGCCCGTTCTCCCGGGGGCCCGGACCCATCAACGGGGGGCCCGGACCCATCAACGGGGGCCCGGGCCCCATCCACCCAGGATGCCCTGGCCCCATCCACCCAGGGGCCCGGGTCAATTCTCCCGGGGGGCCGGGCCCGTTCTCCAATCTCCCGGGGCCCGGGGCCCGTTCTCCCGGGGGCCCGGACCCATCAACGGGGGGCCCGGACCCATCAACGGGGGCCCGGGCCCCATCCACCCAGGATGCCCTGGCCCCATCCACCCAGGGGCCCGGGTCAATTCTCCCGGGGGCCGGGCCCGTTCTCCCGGGGGCCCGGGCCCCATCCACCCAGGAGGCCCGGGCCCGTTCTCCCAGGGACCCGGATCAATTCTCCCGGGGGCCCGGGCCCGTTCTCCGGGAGGCCCGGGTCCGTTCTCCAATCTCCCGGGGTTCGGGGCCCGTTCTCCCGGGGGCCCGGACCCATCAACGGGGGGGGGGGGGCCGGCCCCATCCACCCAGGAGGCCCGGGCCCGTTCTCCCAGGGGCCGGGCCCGTTCTCCCGGGGGCCCGGGCCCCGTCCACCTGGGGCCCCAGGCCGACCCCTCATCCGTGGTGTCCCAGTAGGCATTTCTCGAAGCGGGCTCGTCCGATTAGATTAGGGCCTCTCTCCTCCCCCCCCCTCTCTCTCTCTCTCTCTCTCTCTCTCTCTCTCTCTCTCTCCCTCTCTCTCTCGAGCGGGCCCCTGACAAAAATTTCGGGGGGGTCAGCTGACCCTCTGACCCCCCCCCCCTGGCTGCGCCACTGGTATCAGACACCTAAAAGGGTGTCAGACACCCGGTGTTTCATTCCCAATGACACCTGTATTGGTGTCAAAAGTGACACCCGTCTGACACCCCAGCGAGGTGCAGTTTGGTACACACCCTTAAAGGTGTTCCAGGGGAATAATTTTTTTTCTCAGTGTAGTCCACGAACCGATTGGATGGTGAGGAGCCATCTCTAAAACGTTCCGCTTTTTAATGATTGTTCACACTGTCGGAGGGAAACCTTTCGGGCAGTGGCACCATCATTATTAGTACACTCACGAGCCTCCCTCACAAACTCGAAATGGATCTGGACTGTTTGTATTACATACATAAGAATAACTATACAATAAAACTTTCTAGACTGTCGACCGTACGGGGAAACCTCCGGCCAATCTCTAACAGGAGCCGGCACTGAGAGTCTACTGGCCAAGACGCGTGCCTGAGCTAGAGTAGACCTCCAATAGAGATCTGCACCAGGCCCTCGGCGCCGGTAATGTATCGAAAAACAGCTAACACACAGATTTGTATAAGAAAACACTTCACTAGCTAGAAGCCTCAAGCGAGGCACTACCTTCATCACGCTGGGTATTGAACAGTTCAAAGTGAATAACATGGGGCCTCGGAGTCGGTAACGGCTATTGAAGAAACTTCTAAAGAAATGACGAGGCAAGCAAGTTCAGTGGCATCAACGCTCTCGGGCGGGTAAGAAGTCGCGCTGAGACCACCATCCGCTGTCGTCAGCAAAAGAATGGTCTCACACTGGCCCGTGGATGTCCCGAAAACATCTGGCATCGCATCGCATACCAATGAGAGGGGCCTGTCTATGCGTGCCCCAAACAGTTCTGACAATGTAACATTCTCTCAGTATGAACACAATGCACTTCGGATCGCCACATACGGCGCAATCCTTCACCCGTGCTGTTAGTATTGCCGGACCTGCTGGTAGCGCAGGGAAGGGACCGGGTCGGGTCGGGGTCGGGTCGGGTCAGGTCAACTCCTGTCGACCGGCATCACAGGTGAGGTCGTTGATCAGCAAGGTCGGGACAAACGGTCACTACAGGACGAAACAACGACATGAGCAACCAACAGCTCCGAACGTACGCGTGACGCATTCAACGAGAGCCCGGCGCCTGGCGGGCTAATAATGTCGCACTCCCCTCACGAGGCAGGGGCGCACAGGAATGATTAAGCAACACGCGCCAGTCGCTCTGCTCCTCCAACCACTTAGAGCATCTTCACTCAGACAAGCAGAGAAATGAAACTCATCCTCCAGGCGTCCAGGCATACCGACTCCAGAACGCTTAACGTTAATATCGCGCCTTCAGTCACCCCTAATAAGGGCTCTCGTCACAGTTGTCCCACCTCCCTACACTACCAGATATTGCGACTATTTCTTTGTCCTACCATTCATATCTACCGCCTACTTACAACATTCTGATCGGTTGGCACTTGGGAGCCGATCCCGACACATATAAGGTACTTGAAGCTGGCAAAACGACATAATAAGGTGCCTGATTTGTCATTCGCAATTGAGTCCAGATGGGAACGGATCATGCTTCCATTTGTTTGTTTTTTCTTTTGCGCTATGATTCAGGAAAGAATAATCTACAGGAGATCTAGCAACCTGCCCAAGGATAACTACAGGCTATATATCTCGCACTGAGCTCCATTCGACCGGAGAGGGGTTCAATAACCCCTAACACCTCCGCGAGCACCCCACAGCACCGGGAGCCGGGTAGGCTCCCCGCAACGACCAAACCAAGCACACGTATATATCACTGGGACCGGGCGTCTCTAAAGCACTGGCGGGATCACTGGGGTGGTCGGGGTCCTCTGAGACCCGGCACCCCGGGGTGGCGGGCGCGGACACTACGGGGACGGCTGGACCAGGACCTCTAAATCGGCCCGCTCACGACACCGGCTATATAGCACCAGAATGACAAGACGGGTGGGTGGATGAGTCGATGGGAGTCTAGTCGATCTTCTTTTTCTTGCGCAGCTTTTCGAGCGCCTCGTCTATGATCCGTTTCGGTGGCAGAAAGCAGCGCTCGATGAAGTCCTCCATCAGTGTGAACATGTGCCGCTTCACTCCTGATAAGAAGTGGTTCTCGTCCGGGTAGATCTGCAAGAAATGTCACATGACGCATCACAAAACCATACGATTGAATCCAAGCCTAGGAAACATGAAGAAATTACATGAGACATGACATGAATACAAAGACACAAATCTTCAGAAGCAAAAAGATCATCATCACCACGTCCACTGCAGCGTCACTTCTACCCACCTGTTGTCTGAAGGTGACGCCAGCCTTGACCAGCGCCCTGGAGAGCAGCATGCTGTGCTGCACGTGCACGTTGTCGTCAGCGGATCCGTGGATCAGCAGCAGGTTCTTGTTGCGGAAGCTCTCGGCCCGGCTGGTAAGGTCGGCCTCCTCGTAACCCCGGTAGTTGCCGCGGGCGCCAGGAGGTCCCATATACCGCTCTGTGTAGGCCGAGTCTGCGCGCAGAAGTCAGTTGGAGGTCAAATAAAGATCAGGTAGGGTCAGGTGAACTCCCTGGAATATTGGGTCAGTGACATGATACCTAATCCTTCAATGAAAACCTCTCCAGTGAAATGGCAGCTTACTTATATGTAGACACAGGTGACAACTCGTCTACTCGCGGTGTGCGTCGTCCTCCAGCATGACACATCCTTCGTTTTTAAGCAAAACCGACACTGACAAATGAAATCACTTTCACATGTCACTTTTGGCAAGAGTAACCACGCCTCAGCCATGTGTCGTACCGTATAGGTTCCAGTCGGTGACGGGAGCCACGGACACGGCTCCCCGGAACAGGCGCCGGTTGTCCAAGGCCAGCGCCATGGCTGCGGCGAACCCTCCGTAGCTCCATCCCCAGATGACAACACGGCGCGAGTCGATAAAGTACTGCTCTGTAGTCAGCTTACGGACCACCTTCAGCTGTGGAGGTCAGGGAGGTCAGTGGGGAGCTCAGAGGGGTCGCTAACTCGATAGGGAGGTCAGAGGAGTGATGAGTGAGGTGGCAAGGGTCAGTAGGGAGGTCAAAGAGGTCAGTGGGGAGGTCGGAGGTCAGTAGACGAAATTACCAAAGGTTTTTACATAGGGTTTCCAGAAAAGCTAGGTAAGAGCCGACCACAGATATCGAAAAGTAGATCGAACCTTAGCCTAACAAACCAGAACAATCTATAGCAGTTAGCACACCCTTATAGATCCAAAATCACACCATTACGCACAAATAGCCAGCAACTGCAGGTCTGGTGCCGTTCACTACGTGGCGTTCCCGACTGACCTGGTCCTGGACCTCGATGGTGCCCAGCTTGCCGTGCACGCTGTGCTTCAGCTTCTGGCCGCGGTTGCCGGAGCCCCTGCCGTCGATCCTGGCGTAGATGAAGTTCCTGCCGGACGCCATGTAGGTGTGCCAGCCGACCCGCCAGCGCGAGGTCACCTGCTGCGTGCCGGGCCCGCCGTAGCTGCGAATGCAGCGGGACAGGTGTCAGTTGGGAAGTGGGAGCGTGAAGACGAAAGAGGGTGAAACGTAGAGAACTGGCTAACTCCAGGAGGAAAAGTTCATCAACGCTTGGAATGGGAAGTGTTGCAGAACAACAAAAAGGAGGGGGACTGGTCAGAGTACATAAATGTAGATGTGTGTCGAGGTGAACCCAAATTACATCAATCGGAGCTCACTGCTGGTATACAAGCATGACGGGGAGTTAAAGCGATTAATTGTTACGGAGCGAGCGAAGCGAGCGTAGTCTTTCCTTAGATTAACGGAAATTTCTGAGTATGAGCGGCCGGCCGGCCGGCCGGCCGGCCGGCCGTGGTCACGCTTTTGCGAGGCTTATATCTCAGCAACCACTTGACCGATTTACATGCGGTAAATTTTGTAGGGTAGCTTCATTCCTTCTACCAAGTATTGGACTATTCCCGATGCATGTGGGTGACCCCTTATGCACGTGCCACGTGCAAAACGAAGAGGTGTCAGTTTTGTAATTGTTGCAATATCTCGGTAAGTACTTGGCCGATTGCGCTGAAAGTTGGCATGTAGGTAGGCACCCACTAGGCACTGCATATCCATGTGCCAGAGTTGGGGTGCTGCTGCACGTGCGCACGTGCAGGGGTCGTTTCCAGATCTCGAGAACGGCTCGACCGATTGCGCTCAAATTTGGTACACAGTTAGGGACCGGTTAGTAGGGTGCCGTGCATAAGTCAGTTGGGACCCATTTTGCACGTGCGCACGTGCAGGGTGCCGCTTCCAGATCTCGAGAACGGCTGGGCCGATTGTGCCCAAATTTGGCACATCGCTAGAGACCGGTTAGTAGGGTGCCGTGCACAAGTCAGTTGGAGGTACCCCCTCGCAATTTCGCACGTGCAAGGCCCACCCTCTCGCTCGCTCCGTTAGTCGCCCCAAAAGGCGTTATACTGGTAATTAATGAAACGTTTCGATATAGTTAGCAAGAACATTAGGCAACCCAAGGACACCACGCATTCTCCGACGACTCACACTTCGACGATCATGGGGTACCGGGTGACCTCATCGTCACGGAGTCCGGGAGGCAGGATCAGCTCGACGGCGGCCTCCTGTTCCTCGGAGAGCGGCACCGTCAGGTGGCGCACCTGTCGCAGGAATGAGCGGGTCGAGTCAGGTCAGAGGGCAAGCTCAGGTCAGGTTGGGTCAAGGTGGATGGTAGGACAGTCGCCCTAGACCAGAACAGAGAGCAAGGCAGGTACGAGGCGATTTCGGTTCCACAGATGGAGCAGCGAATGGCAGATAAGGGACATAATATGACGGTGCTCGTCTTTAGACGTGCTGGTCAAATAAGGAAGCCGTTAGACGTTACACGGATCAGTGAGTTGGTCAGATTCTCGGGCATGCCATCTCTGAGCTAAATGAAACGACCATAAGTTTGATGACATTCGGCAGAGGCATATTTGAAAGCTAGATTGCATGACTCTACGTTGCCGGTCCCATTTTCCGAGACCCAATACCGGTTTGACCTCACTTTGCATTGACGGACAACCTGACCAGCTCACCTGGGGCCAGGCCATCTCGGCGGCCTTCTCCCGGATGGCCGTGTTGTTATCCAGCAGCGTCAGCAGCTTGTTCTCCGGCAGCATGTACAGCTCGGTGAACGGCAGGTCCGGGCCCAGACACTCCAGCACGTAGTACCTCATCCGGGGACCCTGCCGAGGGCGCAAGGCGTCAGTCAGCAGAGAGACCAGTAAAAGAGCGGGTTCTCAGCTAGAGGTTCGAACCAAACGTATACCAGCCGACATATTCTGCCCATGCATACCACAGACACATGCTACTTGTTATCTCGTTAAAATTGCAGTCCTTTCGATGATTTAAGAAAATGCTTTCGCACAGGGGCGTATCCAGGATTTCCATAGGGTGGGGGCAGTCGGCGCAGAGGTGGCACATTTTTCGCCTACCGAGGGGGGGGGGGGGTATTCACTTCACTACGGGGGCGGCACTTAGACTTGAGGGAGTAGCGCTCTGACCTCAGGGAGAGAAGCGACATTATCTGAGGGTTAGATATAAACTCAGAAAGTTTACTTCTACCAGATATTATGATGATATGAGCTTAAAATAAATGCTCATTTTCATAAAATGCGAAAAATGCTGCCCTTCACCGCCGAAGGATGGGCTAGGGGCATACAGCGGATATGGTCTTACCATAAGCGTTTTGCCGAAGAGGCAGGGCCGCTCTGTGCTGTTGTCTGGGCACGTGAGACATTCAGGCGTCGGCCGATAGAGGGCAGTGGTGGTGCGGTTCACTCGGTACAAGTGTCGTTCGCCAGGGGTGCCCTGAGGAACTGCCGTGAAGTAGCTGGGATAGAAAAGAAAGCACCAGCGGTTAGTGTTCGATATTGCAAAGATCATCGGAAAAATGACGTTTCACAGCGAGCACAAACGCAAACAATATTCGTGCAAGGCAGACTATGATAATTGATAGTTAAACTCCCATCATCTCTGAAGCGTTAAAACGACAGTTTTACAGCATACCGATTGCCAGCATAGACAGTTTATTGTTATCTATGAAAAAACTAAATATTTATCAAGTCTATCTGGCAACGCGTCCCTTCTCACCCATATCCATCGTCAGTCGCACACTCACATGACTTGTTTGGGCTCGTCCCAGCCGAGCAGCTCCAGCACCTCGAAGGCGCCGATGGTGACCGGAGTGAGCTGCTTCCTGAGCACGTCCACGTGCGAGATGTGCTGGAAACGGCCCTCGTCTGCGTCCCTGACCGGCTGTAGGGTGAGATAGCTGCGCCCGTCGGCGGCGTACAGGGGCGCCGCCTGCACCTCCAGCCAGCCGGGGGCCGCCTGCTCCTGAACGTGGCTCTGGGGAGAGTGGGGAGAGCGGGAGGGTGAGTGGGGGTGGACGGGAAGAGCGGGGAGGGCGAGTAGGTGAGTAGAGGGAGTGGAGAATGAGAAAATGTATTGCTGGGAAAGTTTATATGGCTGTTTTGGCATTGACAGAGTGGTAGCCGCGATAACACAAACGAGCTCGCTTTAGGTTAACCCGCGAGTTGCTGGGGGGGGGCGTTAAACGCCCCCACTTTTTTCGCCGGGCCATAGCATAAAAACGGCGCGCCGCAGGCGCGCCAAATTTTGGGTACCTGTAGGGAATTGATTGAAGTTTATTGTGACAAAGTTTCAAAAAAATCGGTCGGAGAATTTTTGAGATATAGAGGTTTTAGTGACGTCATGATTTCTGAGTTTTCGACCAAAAACGGCATATGTTCAAAAAATCATATAAAATCACAGAATAGACATACAGACATGCCGTAAACGCCATTAGACTGCCAATACCATGAACATTCAGATGGCTATCTTCGATTATTGATTATCGTTCCGCATTTTCCAAAATCTTGAACTGAATCTTGGCAATTTCTCGTAACTACTTCGACCATGATACATGCATTTCTTAAATTGAACTTTTTTAGCCAAACACGTACACAAATGATAAAATGAATGTCACCATCGTGCTCTACGCCCCAAATTACTCATAAAACATGTGTCACAGGCTGCGAATATCAGTTTTTATTTTCGGGGATATGTGCCTGCCCGGTTGACCTGACCTTGACCCTGACCTATGTTTGACTGACCCCTGCATGGAGCTGACACTCTTGTAGGCCTTATATGATGGATTGTGCACCGTTTAGACAGAGTTTATGACGAGAGGCGCCCATTGCGAAGTCCTGAAGTCCATGCTACTGAAAGCCCGATTTCAGGTGTTTGACCTGACCTTGACCTGACCTGTGACCTCAAAATTCAACTTTAAAGTACTCATCTGAAGCGTCTCGTCGCGTTCTTTCGTTTGCCGCCTCGTGCGTTTCGCTGCGCCTATTGGTTCTCGAGTTATCGGCTGGGGGCGTTTAACGCCCCCCCCCAGCAAACGGTGGGTGGCGAAATACCCCAGCAACTGCCGGGTTAATTGATGCACATGGCTAACCCCCGAGCTGTGCCCAAGCTGACCTCTGAGCAGACCACAACACTAAACTCTGAGCAGTAGACTCTAAGCAGTACCCATATTGACCTCTGAGAAGTACTCACACTGACCTCTGAGCAGTACCAATACTGACCTCTGAGCAGTACCAGAGTCCGTCGACACACTCGCTGATGTGAGAGGTGTTCTGGTGGCGGTTGGCCCACACCACCGATACCGTCTTCTCGTCCACCCAGGACACATCGGTGAAGTAGTAGTCGCTGTGGAGGCAGAGACGAGAAACTGAGTGCTACGGCGTCATTAAAGCACGATGATGATGCTGATTTATGATCCCCAACTTTAAACGGGCTTTCAACATGTGGCAATTAATTAATTTTCAAGCATATTTCTTTGTAAAATGCAATAGTGCTAAATGGGCACGAGTTCTTGACTCTCGAATAACGTAAATAGTATTATGATTCAATTATAAAACAAAACACAATAAGCAATGCTTCATGAATGCGTGAGCCGTGTGAAGCCAATAACTCAGCGGAGGCGGACGACACTAAAAAACAAACACGGGCCAGATCCAGATGCGTGTGTTGAAATTAGCGAGCTGACTTATGTCTAAGATTTGTCCAGGAAGGCGTGTGCAAAAGTTTGATCTCAAAATAATTGGATAACTTCAGTGTCGGCATTAATTTCTCGTCGCAGGCAGAATTGGGAGCCCGAGGTAATCCTTGACGCATGACTTCACCGAATAGCTAACTTTCTTGATGGCGTAAGTAACTTAAGCCCTGCGCCTCGCGTCAAGTTATTCTGGAGTAAATGCTATTCGAGCCAAGAAGTTTGTGCCTTCAGCTGGTTTCAGACAATATGTCATTCATTATAAACATGCCGTAAGCTGTCAACCTGCAACACATACTATTCGAAATATTATTTGATATCTATCTTCTACAGGTCAGTTCACAAACGGCCAGTCAGTATTGCCTCGTTTCAATTTGGCGGTAAAAAACGCTACGAGGTGTGATATCAGCTTTGAAGTCATGCTAACTGATCTCAGCTGTCTGACCTGTTATCGTGCTTCACACTTGTACACAATTACCTACCTTTTAAGTCCGGTCGGCGGGCGCAGGTCGTTGGCGCTCGCCACACCGATGTCCCGTAGATTTACCACCCACAGAGTCACTTCGGGGTTCGCAGTGCCCGCCTGAAAATAAACGGGAGGAGTTAAACTGAAGCAAAATTAAACGCGTGTGATATGAGTTCTTTGGCATCTAATTCGACTAACTTTGCAAACATATTTTTATAAAAATCCCTGTTTCGTGCCTGACATTTTCTCCTACACACTTTACATTCCAATTCCTCTGGTGTTCTTTTATGCTCTTGTTTTCACTGCTGTTTCACATGATTTCTCAGCCGCGGGGGTACAGGCACAATGCACACACTGTGACCCCACCCCACCTGCCCCGCGGCTGTACGATCATTTTCCGTGTCGGTAGCGTGGGTAGGCGCCGTGCCGACGGTACCGCCCAAAAGGCCCGTTCCCACCGTGTCGCGCCGTGCCGTCGGTACCGCCCTGAAGGCCCGTTCCCACCGTGTCGCGCCGTGCCGTCGGCACCGCCCTGAAGGCCGCTTCCCACCGTGCCGGCCCTCGGTCAGATTGACCGCCGCTGATCGTTGGCAGCCGGTAATGAAGTGTGTGACCGGCGGCAGCTGGGCCGGGCGGGCCGACGACGAGGGTAGAGTAAAGGAGAGTGGGGAGAGGGAGTGGTAGAGGGGTAAAGTCAGGTTGGATGAGTCAGACAAGGAATCAGAATGGCTGATCAGAAACGAGAAGATTTCAATATCATAGGTTGGTGCAAATTCAGTTGGAAAAAAATATATATCTTCCTTTGATTTGAGTGTTTTGAGTGAGTGATTGATAAATGTGAATCACGTTCAAGTAGGTAGGTATCTGCAAGTAAAGAAATTCACAAATGCCTACTGTTATTTCCCTAAACTGTAGCGCTGTTCCGAGACTGGGAAGAAATGATGGGCAATGGAAAGAACGCAGCATAAATCAAATACGACATGGACAACGCCACGAGAAGAACCCATATTCCTGCTACCTGGGTGTTATTCATTCCTGCACTTACCACGCTGCACCTCTCAGAAGAGATGCCACTCGTGGGAGTCTGCTGGGCGCTCCATAATACCCGGTATGAGTGCCGGACAACCCCTTGGGATTCTGACCGACCTGCAGCACCGTTCCTGGGAGGGAACACACCAGCCCGACGGGATGGGAGCGAGCTGATGCATGATGTAAGTGCACCGGTCCCCGTGGGAAGGAACGCGCCCCGTACAATAATGGGGAAACTGGCCGAGGGTGGTCTCTGATGGTCTAGCCAGAAGCCACGTATGATTTCTACGAGCATACGCCTAGTATTGCTATACAAAAGCAGCACTGAGCAGTATTTCAGCCCACGATCAGTATAAGGTATTACTGGGAAGATAAAAAGTGAGGAAGGTTTGCATATTCTAGGCAAAATTGGTGCAGTGTCATAGACTTGAACACAAAGGCCTATGTCACAAAACCAGTTATTTATTGTAATATGATTGTTGCAAATGATATCCGTAACCGCTTCGCTGGCCATTTATCGCGATTGTAAAATTGCTCCACTATCCAGAACGCCCACTATCATCGATTGCCCTAATAGAAAAACGTTCAACGATGCTTTGTCAGCAGGCAGCATCCCCAGCACAGGACAGCAAGGAATAGAGGGTTATAAAATCGATAATTCGAACGAATGACTGCAAAGAAGCAATCCCCAATCCCAATGAAGAGGCAAAAGGCGAGTCGTAAATTAAAGGAACGATGCTATAGATTCAGTAAGTGAAAAGACGAAAAATGTAAAACACGGTGCCTTATTATCCAATTCCATGTGTAGATTTTGTCGTGTTCAACGGGTTGTTCCATCCTCAGCAGTTGCCTCTTAGTACTGACATATGCACTGCAGCCTGTGTGGAGTGACATCGACGCGGTGTGGCTTTGGAAGAGCCGGTTTTCATTTGGCTGTTTGCGCACGCCACGCTAATTAACTGCCAGGAGAAATTAGTCGGCAAAGTGGGAGGATGAACAACACTCCAATAATGAACCCCGAGGCTCAGAGATGCCATCAGAGCCACTTCCCCGATGGTAAGTTTTAACGACACTGAATACATTATTTTCCCTCCAAAATATTAATGCATCTATGATGTTTAACCTAAAAATGTAATAAGAAAACAGCGATATAACCTGCAACGGATTTCACTAATGGCTAGGCTGTTCACAAAGGAGACTTAAAACTCTCAACCGAAAGCGGTAGAATGGAGTAGAAACCCTCACGGCAGCATTATCTGAGCAGCAGCGGAGCCATCCATCCGTTAGACAGACCGATCGCGCCCTGTCCTCCCGGATTCGAATTTAGATTTACACGGCCGGCGAGCGGCCAAGAGGGCCGATAAAGTGTGGTTAGACCGGCGCGGAGGGGGACGTTGGATTGTGGCAGGCTGGGAGTCGGATCGTGATTCGATCAGCAGCGAGTGGTGGAAAATGACCAGATGTGACTGGACTGCATGATAATGACCAGCTTTAATATTGCCTTCCAGCGTGTCTGATCACTGATGTTCGTTTAATTTTCGGTCATATCAATTTTCATCAAAAGCAAATTATGTATACCATGTATTTCAGAATACGTATGTCATAATGGCTGGAAAAAGCAACAACTCGGGCTGTACCTATTTAAAAGACTTCATGAAAGTTTCACTGCACTCAAACACCACGTTTGTGGTTATTTTATCACAATTATCAAATGGAATCGTCAAACGAATGACAAAAATTAAGATGTGAATAGAAAAAAAAAAATAATTATAAATGTAAATATTTTTCTTGTAAATGAACATAAATCACAATTCTTAAAACCCAATGAAATATATTAGCAATTTTTCGTGTACGAAAACTGGAGATGAGCAAGTCACAGAGAAGAATGTAAAAGAGAGAAGAGGAGCGCTGAATGGAGATAGAGATATAAATAGAGAAGGAGAGAGAGAGAGAGAGAGGGAGAGAGAGAGAGAGAGAGAGAGAGAGAGAGAGAGAGAGAGAGAGAGAGAGAGAGAGAGAGAGAGAGAGAGAGAGAGAGAGAGAGAGAGAGAGAGAGAGAGAGAGAGAGAGAGAGAGAGAGAGAGAGAGAGAGAGAGAGAGAGAGAGAGAGAGAGAGAGAGAGAGAGAGAGAGAGAGAGAGAGAGAGAGAGAGAGAGAGAGAGAGAGAGAGAGAGAGAGAGAGAGAGAGAGAGAGAGAGAGAGAGAGAGAGAGAGAGAGAGAGAGAGAGAGAGAGAGAGAGAGAGAGACACACACACACACACACACACACACACATAAGGACACAGGCAAGCCCGTGCTACCGGAAATTAACGCCTACCAGCATTGTGGGTAATGTACATTGCATATGTTCCCAAAATAGCACAACTGCAGGCCCTATTAATTCCGAGGACCCATCTGCCTAGCGCGCCCACAGCACTGGCCACCGAACTGAGTACCGCCAGGAGCCGATCTAATCACGATTCCACGCAGCGCAGCAGTTCATAGGTAAGCTCCCTCGGTCCGTTCGCGTATCCAGGCGTATTACGATATTCTGTGGGCTTAATTAGATAGAAGATACCCATGACGGTGCGGGAGCCGGGAGTGTCTCCCTCTGGCTGATCCTCTGGTCTGGTCTGCTAGGGTTATATCCCCTGCAGATGCGCCAGGCGGGGATGGAGGGCGGGCGATGAGATTCGGGTCGCCGCGGGCAGGACCTAAGCCCGCAGGGGTCATGGGAGTGTTGCGGCGCCGCGGAGATTGGAGTGTGTTTAAGACAGTCAGGCGCGACTTGTGTTGCTAGAACAGCTATTGCACTTTCCATCCAGGATTTACCTACTGGTATTGGATCTTGGTATTGGATTGGAGCTGGTATTGGATCCAGTAGACGGCCGGGTACTTGGTGTCGCCGCCACTCGTCTGATATAGGTGACTGGGATGGAGGTGTATTTGTGTAAGAGTATGGAGGGGCGCACCGTACCTGCGGTTATCGGATCCAGTAGACGGCCGGGTACTTTGTGTGGCCGCCACTCGGCTGGATAGTAGGTGACCGGGATGGAGGTGTATTTGTGTAAGAGTATGGAGGGGCGTGACTCACCTGCGGGTATCGGATCCAGTAGACGGCCGGGTACTTGGTGTGGCCGCCGCTCGTCTGATAATAGGTGACTGGGATGGAGGTGTATTTGTGTAAGAGTACGGAGGGGCGCGCCGTACCTGCGGGTATCGGATCCAGTAGACGGCCGGGTACTTGGTGTCGCCGCCACTCGGCTGGTAGTAGGTGACCGGGGTGGCCGTGACACCCGAGTCGTTGAACGTGGCGTACACCATTCGGTCGCCGCGACGACTGAACCACATGGCTACGTTGGTACTGAGGATCTCCTCTGGGGACAGACAGGCAACAGACAAGGGTTAAGTATACTTCATCGGTTCTTAGAGAGTGCAACATCTCTGTCATGGTCATGGTCGTGTCATCTCTTTATGCATCGTGCATGATGCAGAACAAAAATCGTGGACCAAGTCCAACGGAAGCTATTTCCAGCATCTGATAAGCTAAAATATAAAATCAAAAGGCTGATGCTGTCGTGATTTTCCAGTTTAGAGGAAGCAGTCCATTTGTGACCATGTGACCTAGCTGAGCACAAAAACGGCCTATCTCAGTAATCGAGCTCGTTTCAGAGTCTCGGTCGTTGACTGGGGTGATTGTTGGACCGATTGATGTGGCGTCACGACGTCTCCCAGGAACCCTGAACAGTGAACACGGCTGAATTATCGAGTCCATTGAGCGAATGAGCCGAATCGTGGTTTTGCTTTTCCAGCAACAATTTGGATGAAGTATGGAGACACTCATGCATTCGGATTGGGAAGGTGATATGTGCCCATAAGAGCTTCAGAATAAGAGACACAAGAAAAAATAAACCTTAGAAATACACATTACAAAACAAAGTCTAATGCATATTTTTGCAGAAGCGGATTTATTTTGCACTGCTATTCCTTAAATGATACGTTGGCACCCGCTGCTCCGAAGGCCAATTTTTATGAGATATAATTTCATCGGAGTGTTCACTGTTTTTCCATCCTATGAATATCCTCCATATCCTTTCGCCTACAATCACCACAATGCACTTCCCCAGCCTTCCAGTGATCTTTTCCGCAAACCTCGACAGATTCTGGTCAGGCCGATCCCACAACATCTCTGTATCTGTATCAATCCCAATCAGTGTCCGCTGTTTGACAGAGCTCTCCCCCCCCCTCTGCCCTGACCCACGAGCCTCCTCAGACATGAGAAGACGACGCTCCTTATGTACTCCTTGAACCTTCCCCTCATCCCCTCACTGTGTTAGAGCCGAGCTACAAAGGCACAAATCAATTTTATAACGGTTAGAGTAGCCACGCTGCAGACTGCTTGTAATATCTCGAAATACAGTAGCCAACTGCATATTCAGCAACATTTGCGCATATAGCTCGCTGCCAGCTTGGACGGTCATCTGTTAGCAGAGATGAGCGGAATCATCGTTTCTTCGAACGTCAACCAACAGTCGATGGTGCTCGACAGCGAGATGATAGATGAGCCCATATTGAATCCGTATTAGAAAATTCATCGTGAATTGGTGGCAGCAGCGTTAATCGGCTTCCCCCAGGCACCACTATGGAAAACTCAACCAGACCACGTTCGAGCAGCCTTTTTAGCTTGGATCGACTTGGGCGTCCACCATTACTTCGCTCAACAAAACGTGCCAAACAAACTCAAGTCAATAAAGCACTTCATTTGAGCAAAATATAATAAACACATTGTAAATACATTGCCTATCTTTTTGTTTGCCTCCTTTGAGCACGGCTTGGAGCCCCTCAAAACGGACCCATGCTCTTATGGCCCGGTACAGAGTCCGCCGCCTCGTAGTTTTTACAAATGCCACATGACGGCTGACTTTTGCCCAGTTCTGGGCGGTCCGAGCGACGCTAATTCAATGACTCAGTGTCATACTGACTCAGGGACTCAATGACTCTCGGCCGACCCCGCGACCGATCGACCCGCGCCCGGCAACCCAAACCCCCCGGATGACCCCTGCGGCGAGCCGATCGCAATGCAATCGACAATACCACAGAATGATTCTACCACGGTGGTGGAGGTCAGAAATAGAACATATCGCATCACCAGTAGGGACTGGTGTGATTTGACTGCGCCATGCCGAATGGTGATGCATGGGATATGAGTGCAGTTCCAAGAATATTCCCCGATTTGATACACTGGAGGGATCACTGAATATCTTTCTGGAATGAAATGTTCTGTGAAATGATATATCAACATTCTCGTGAGAGCACTGCAGAAATAGTTCATCTCATAGAAGAAAGCCACTAATGGCTATAGCTGTCAATGCAAACACTTTCGGCCTTACGACTTACGAGTGGTTCTAGAAATATCCAATGTATTGCTCGCTCCCTATATTAGTGGACCACATCAGACTATACGTAACGATATGAAGCGCGAATTATCTGGTTGATCGTTACTGTTACTAATTCTTATAAGCTTTGATGTAACTTTTCCATTTCTGTTCCATTACCTTACCGGATAAGTTCACTTTGCCTTCTCCTCTCCACTGCTGGTATCAAGTTAGGCCACTGCTAAAGCTCTAGCGTTCCTAATCCTTCCCCGGTGCATCCAGGGGCGTAACTTTTTGGTTTTCGTTGGGGGGGGGGCAACGCTGTCGGGGGCGCCTTTTTAAGGGCATGGGGGCGCCTCCCCGTGACTGTCTAGAAATAAGTCTTATTTCAGTTTACGGTGCAGCATTTTTTTTACCATAGCACGTTGTTTTTGTGCCGTCGTGTTTTGGCACGTTATGTTGCAGTTTTTTTCTGAAATAGCGCGCCAAAAGCGCGGAATTATTTTGTAACCAAATACATTTTGAAAGCACTTTGGGGACCAGAGAGTCGACCGGGGGCGGGTAGTGGAATTGGGGACCAGGGTAGTGACGCCTTATTAAACAACGCATATGGTAGTTTTTCTAAAGAAACGAGACGAACTGATGAATTGACAAAAAGAAAAGAAAAAACAACTGATAAAAAGGCGAGATTAAAGAAACAAATCTGTAGAACTTCACCCCACGCAGAAGCAAGGGACGTTTTTACGCCTCCCCTTTTAAGTTAAGAACACACTTCATACTGCATCTTTTCCGCACGTGTTCTAGAAGCAAACCAGTGGCAAAAATTTGCCCTCATCGAAAAAAATAAAAAATTGCCCCCCCCCGCCCGCGCCGGGCCGGGGGGGGGGAGTGAACACCTCCCCTGCGGTTTTTCGCAGATATCTCAAAACTCCGCGCCGCCGTTTTTGGCACACCTGTTCATGCATCTTTTTTTTTACACATGTGCAAATTTCAGACCCAGAGCTCTCAAGGTCAGGTCACCAGGTCACGTCAAAAGACCTCACCTCAGAAAAAAGTTGCAATCCTCGTCATAGCTACACCGACTGAACGATCGCCTTGAAACTTTCAGCGATTGATAAGAGTAACAGTATGTCTAAAATGTTTATCTCGGAATTTTGATATCAGTGACCTATGGTCAGGTCAATTTTGCGACCTCTCCATTATAAGTCAATGGGAGAAAATTGAAATGAGCCTTTTTTGGACGAATGGTATTTAGAACCCTCTCAAACATCGTTTCATAGGTAAACATGATACACTGAATCGGAAAAAATGCACCTGTGACCCCTCTGTGTGCCCTTGAGGTCATCTCAGGTCATAGACGGTCACCACCAGTTTTTTGGCTGTAACTTTTGATAAAGGCGTGCTAGAGCGATGAAAACACTTCAGATGTATTCAGCTCGACGATACGGATCGACTGATATGCAACATGACCCTTTTCGGTCAGGTTATGACCTTGACCTGAGGTCAAATTTTAAAAATGACCTTTCAAGGTCAAAAAATAGTTCATTCGACGCGTCTCGACGAGAGGAACATGATGCTGCCAAAAGTAATGTCGTGGCACTCTTAAGTCAAAAGTTATTGCCGAAAAACAGTTTTCGTGAAAACTGCTATTTTACAGTTTTTGCCCTTTGGAGGCTAAACCGTTGACCTTAGGTCAAATCTGAGAACAATGGTCAGAAAGGTCTGTAAAAGGGCTATCGAATGCGCTTTTCCGCGGCGCTGTAGCTCTATTGGTCCCGAGTTAGCCGTTGCAGTTTCCAAAATTGTTGAAATGGCCTACATTTGACCTTCGATGACCTCAGGCGACCTGACCTTTGACCTGACCCAAAAAATGACCGAAGTGTTTCCGTCATTATTTTTGACGCTCTTTCGAATGATGCTTACTGCGTGTCGCTACGTGGCCCAGGAGCCGAGTTAGACCAGACACCCCCCTCACCGCCCGGCGCGGAAGTCGCGGAGCACCAGCCCGGCGCGGGTTAATCCCAGGCTGAGAGCGTTCAAGCTTAGGTCACCCATATACCTCTGTATACCGAGACATGCAGAAGTCTGTGGCTCACCAGGTGATATCAAGTTATCACGAAATGATAGGGGAGAGTGGGGTGGGTTGTATCAGTTTTTACTCCGAGACCCATAAACTCGTAACTATCCGTGATAAACTCATTATTTCCATACTGTCCCCTTCCTTGATTCTTCTGCTTTTTTTGTGCAAAGTAACTTTTCCGCTACCTCTACCAGTTTTTCTTCTACGGTCTGCCGAATAGAACAATGTTTTTGATACAACTTGCCCCATGGCTTGGGTGAGTTGTATCACATGGTGGGGTAATTTGTATCACTATTTCACGTTTCAGGGAGTGTGCTTGCTACTGGTTTTGAACATAACAGCAACATTAAATGGGGTTAATACAATGTATAGGTATGCTCAAAGGCTTCACTTTATTAGACCAAACTTAGGTCAATGCAATCCGAACGAAACATTTTTTTTATATTCAGGCCTCCCTCCAACGGGCACTTATGTCCCATTTACAGGAGGGCTCCTCCTCCTCCTGGCCCTTGTTCCCCCGCCCCCCAGGCTACGGCTGAAATGGGAGCCTACCCCACACCTGGTGACACAGCCGGGGACGACGCCCGCGGAACGGGCGGAACCGGGAATCGAACCCGAACCCGGCACCGCCCGCACCGCGGGTCGACGCCTTAACCGACTGCGCCACCTGGTGACTAGACAACATAGCCCTGGTGACATCAACAGACTAGACGCAAAAGTGGCCCGTTAAGAGCAAAGAAGCCAACACATTGTGCCGAAATGGAACGAGCATTGACTAGCTACCTACAAACGCGAGCCAGGGCTTAGCTTTCGCGATCAAAAGCAACATACCCATACATACATACATACATACATGTTACAACATACCCCACCCGGCTCTGATACAACATGTACCTAGCCGCCATCTTGGAAAAACATCCTCGTGCTAAAAAAAAAAACAGCGGACAACTGGAGAAATCCGTTTTCACTCACGCAGCCTTAGAACCTACCCTCACCACCGCTACGGAGATCTTTCAAATTCGTGCACATCTAAATGCCCAAAACACACATTTTCTTGCAACTTATTTTTTTTAGAATGACATTAAAAAAAAAAAAATCGGCTCTCACCTCGAGACGCGTCCACTCAGCCACAAGACAGAACAGGGAAAGATGGCGCCCGGAAAACCTCGTCGGCTGGTCGTGTCGCGAGCGCCATCCATTGGATAAGTTTGGCACAATTCGCCCTGATACAACTTGGACATGATACAACTCTCCCCGCTCTCCCCTACAAATTACTCCTGCTTTGATCTAGAGGTGGCAAAACGTGAAAATTTTGGGAACCAGACTCGAACCAGACCCGGCTGGACATTTCTGGAACCAGTCGGACCCGGTCTAAGTTGGAATCGGAACCAGTTGGACCCGTTCCCCAAAAGTCAATTACCTAATACAAACCGTTTGTAGAAATCATTAATTGCATCGTGTAAAACAGCCCTTTTCCCACTGATAATACTTATGAACTACAGTGTGCAAAGGAACATACATGAGCAAATGTTTTCTTTCCATTCACTTCATATTTTGCAATCATATGTAGTGTCCACTATGTATGGTTTATGGTAGGACCCGGTTGGACCCGCCAGAAAATTTCCAGGAACCGGTCCGGACCCATATGGGTCCAGACCGGTTCTTTTGACCGGGTCCTCGGGTCCACATTTTGCCACCCTTTGAACAAAAAAGATGATGTAGGATACCAGTATAGTCAGAGGAGCGCTAACATTGGCTCGATGGGTGCTATGAACCGTTGGGACGCTACGCCAAGCAAGAGTGGCGCTTTAACAGCAGGGATACCATAACACACAAGGCCCTGTGGGACGATTACATTGACTCAAGGGGCGCCCTTTAGAATCGGTGCGACACCGTGCAGAGGGCGCCATTCTTAACCACATCAATTTTAATACTCACTGCAGATGGCCTCCAAACTGTCTCGAGGGGTGCGTTCAGGAACCGATGGAACAGCCACCGAAATAGGGGCGCCGCTCTAGCTGCAGTGATGAAATAAGGTATTGACCGCATTGACCAAAGGAGCGCTTCATGTGGCTAAAGGGGCGCGTTGGTAAACTGGTGGGGCGCCACCCCATGCCCAGCGAGGGGCGTCGTACTTAGCAAGGAAATTATGTAAGTCAGAGGAGCGCGAACTTCGGCTCGAGGGGCGCTTGTATGAACCGTTGGGGCGCTAACCTAGCTAAGTGTGCCGTTTTAGCAGCAGGGATGCCATAACACACTATAGCGTGCTATGGTATCTAGGCCCTCTAGCCTCCCCCCCCCCTCCCCGAGGAGCGATGATTATGACTCAAGGAGCGCCCTTAAGAATTGGTAGGCCACATACATTTCATTACTCAGTGCAGAGGGGCGCCAAAACGGGCACGAGGGGCGCCTTCAGGAGCCAATGGGGCAGTCTACGGACTGGGGGCGCTGTTCTAGCAACAATGATGATAAGGTATTGGCCAGAGGGGCGCTTCATCCACCTGAAGGGTCACATTGATAAACGGATGGGGCGCCGATCTGCATGCGGGGGCATTAGTTATTAGCAAAACAGATGACATAAGACGTGCGTGTTGTCAGAGGGGCACCACTTTGGCTCGAGGGGCGCTTTTTAACCAATGGGGCACGCTATTTAGCTAAGTTTTTACTTGCCGCAAGCGGCGCACCATCCCTGAGGAACGTTACACAAACGACTGACGACTCTCTCGACATGGGCATCAGAGGTGCCCCTATAGACCTCACAGGCGTCTCTAATTCCCATTGAGGCGCCCCTTTGGGCTTCAACTGGAGCTCCTCTTTCTATGGGCCTCGGAGACGCCCCCATTTGGCATGCAGTCTCCCCTCTTTCGTATTGGGGCGCCATTATGGCCTTAATGGGCGCCCCTTTTTCATGTGGGCGCCCCCTATACTATAGACCTCAGAGGCACCCCGAAGGGCCTCAGAGGCCAATAAGGTGCCCCTCTCTCGCATGCAGGCGCCCCTGTGGCCATCTCAGGCGCCCGTGTTTTGCATTGAGGCGCCCCTGAGGACTTCATGGGCGCCCCTCTTTCGCATGCAGGCGCCCCCACGGCCTCAGAGGTTCCCCTCTCACGCATCCCATTTCCATATAGGCGATGGCGCCCCCTTGAAAGATGGCGCACGCGCTCCTATGACGCCGCTGGCCCGTGAGGGCGCCTTTCAGGCCTGGGGGCGCCCACCAAGGTTGGGGGGGGGGGCAAACGGAATGTTGGGGTGGCAAAATTTCAAGTTGGGGGGGCATCTGCCTCCCCAAAAGTATACAAAGTTACGCCCCTGGGTGCATCCTTATCACAAACGAAAACAGCATTAAACACAACAAACTGCGCGTGCTCTCGGTGCTGCCGGTAATGAGTCCGGAAAAAGCAGACTCCGTCACCCACAATTACCGGCCCAGGTTCGAGTTCTGCCCAAACGCACCCTATCTCCGGCGAATTCGCCTCTGTTTGCCACCGATGACGTCATCGTACACGGCTCGTTGTGGACAGAATCCACCGTTGACGTCACGACGGAAGTCATAGCTTACGAACAGAGAGTCAGATATGGGCGCTGGGCCGCCATACACACTCAGTAAGGAATTTATACTACGGTTTCGCATTCTGGGAAGTTCCCATAAAGACGGTGCCCTCGTTCTTTATGGCAGCTTTGGACAGTGTGGCAGGATTTGGAACGAAACGTTCTGAAGGGCGGTAAAATGAATACATTCTAAATGCATTAATATTTTAAGATACAACTGCCATGACGAGCGAATAAATTCAGATTATGTGGCTAGTTTTGCCGCAATGGTGCGGAATGAAAACGATTGACATAACGTCAATGCGGATATAAATAGTCTACACAAAATGATTGCATGCTATTGTTTTTTGTTTATTGTTTATTGTTTTGTTTATTGTTTATATAGGTAGTGAGGTGAGCATACATGGCATAATATCTGATTTTTTTTTAAATAACCTGCAATAACTACGTTACTTTACTAGAAGCCACCCATACCTTCACACGCCTTCTCCTCGCTGCATAGCTCTGGGCTTATAGATAACCACGCCCAGTGAGATTTGGTTGCACTTGCTGAAGATTATATGCCCTAAGTACAGTGGCAGTATAGCTAAACGTTTCTCACAATGTTGCGTTCGTGGATAAATGGCATTGCCAGTATGGAATGTGATTGATGTAGAGACACTATTAAAAAACGCATGACCATCACACGTCTTGCCCTGACCCCCACCCACCTTCATAGAGCCAGTCGGGTACGCCGTTGAACACCACCCCGGGCTGGCCGGAGGTGGTGACTCGGTCCACGGTTTCCGCCGCCGCCGACGTCTTGTAGTAGATGTCGTTCTTGTAGACCATGACCAGCGCGTTACCGCGGCCGTGGGTGACGTTGTCGGTGGGTACCCAGGCGGCGTAACTGAGCGCCGGGTGGCCGCGCTCCTCGGGCGTGGGGGTCAGCGGTGCGGAGAACCTGTGGAGGAGGGGGGGGGGGGGGTCAGCGGTGCGGAGAACCTGTGGAGGAGGGGGGGGGTCAGAGGTGCGGAGAACCTGTGGAGGAGCGGAGGAAGGGCCACGAAAGCACAAAAAAATATGTGGAGGAGCGGAGAGAGAGAGAGAGAGAGAGAGAGAGAGAGAGAGAGAGAGAGAGAGAGAGAGAGAGAGAGAGAGAGAGAGAGAGAGAGAGAGAGAGAGAGAGAGAGAGAGAGAGAGAGAGAGAGCATTTATTCACACTGCAACAACATAAAATTCATAAATTACATAAGCAATTGGCGCAAAAGTGCTACGCACTTAATTCTTTGGCGCCGCTTGCAAAGAATGGTAACACAATGAATGAAACTAAATAAGACTAAATAAGAGCGGAGAAGAGAGCGTGATGGTTTCCGGTGGTTCGGCTATTGTGCAAGTGAACTACGGTCTGATATTTAGCAGTCTGGTTTTATTTGCTGTCGCAGTCATGTTTTAATAGTAAAATACATGTTTATTTCATACCATAAGTGGTGCATATAGGTTTTGTGTGAACGATTTTACTGTAACGTTCTGTCACCGCAACAAATGACAGGGCAACTTAGCCATGACAAATATAGTGTGTTTGTCGGCATTTCTTTACATCAAGGGTCTCGTTTGAGCACTTCTTCACTAAAAATAAGCTGACATGTTTTCAGATAAAGCAAACACACTGAAGATCTTTTTAACAAATTAGCTTTAATTGTATGCGACGGTTCTGTCAAGAGATTAAATATCAAACAGCTAGATCTCCAAAAGTGCTCAAGTGATACCGTTTCAAAGCCGCGTTATTAATTGTCATACTGGCTGTGGCGCCCAGAATAGAAGTAGCGCGCTAATGTCCTTCATCGTCAGTGAAACAGATCGTTTATCATGGCGCGAACGATAGCATATCCGGCGGCCCACTTCTCCGTTGACAGCCGGCTGGATGGGTCTTCACGGCTTCTGACCGGGCGCGGGAGGGGCGACATAGGGGCACCGCGCGACAGATGGGCACAATCTGAGCCACTGAGCATATCAGCACAGCTGATTGTATTAATTAATTCTAATATTAGTCAAAGGTCCTCAGACACCCGACTATTATTGTGTGTTGTGGTGAGCGATATTCAATCGGAAGCTAAAAGTATCAATTGGTGTAGAGGATCTAAAACAAGTAATATGGTGCCATATGATCACGAGGAAGAATTTCTTATTGTATATCGTTTCAAACAACAATTGACATGCAACATAGTTATATGCAAAATTTGGTGGTGGAATGACTTACGTAATATATGTGCTACTGCGTGGTATCATTCTTTTGTCATCGTTTTTGTCTAAGTGTGTTACACTTTTTATATCATAAGCTACGTTCCTAACAGCGTCAAATGACGAGAAATTCAGTCTACTCACCCTCTCGCAACGTCGTAAATCGTGTACTTGGCCAGGTATGAATGTCGGAATTTCTGAAAAAGTAGAAACATACAAATTCAGACGCTTTACAGCAAGATGAATTAGAATCATAAAAGACATTTCATATGATTTAGCATTATCTGTTTATGCTCTTGTGACTAAGAATTGCTACAGCAAAGAGTTGCAATGCTAATCACTAGCACACACCAGTGGACAGCCGACGTCTCCCTATGACCGTGTCGAAGACGGACAACCCTCCAGCCATCCCCCCCCCCCCCCCCCACCACCACCGCCACATCAGACGTCTTCGCGTGAGCTTCGTGGCGACAGCGGGACGCACGAAGTTTCGTGCACGCTGCCAATGGATCGCGCAGCACAGGGACGACAGAATTATAACGGGCAGAAGGAGGAAAACAGAAACAAAACAGCGAGACACGCAATATGAGCCGGTAACATCTGGCTTCTAGAAATGATCCCTTTTCTTACAGAAAATACGTGCAGTGCAGTAAGATTAAAGCATGATGCTTTAGAGTGAATGTAAATCCACGCTGTTCAGCGTAGCTTTTGGTCACATTTACATTCTGCATAGGGCTACCGGTCCATGAAGCCTCAGTAAATATTGCATTATCATTGTCTTAGTGATAATGCAATGACAGATCATTATTCAATAAATTTGTAATCGAAATATGCATTATACTGTGGATTTCGAGAGTCCTAGTCAATAGCACACGGGCACCTATTCCGACAAAACATTGATTTAATTCCGGGCAGGGTCTGACTCGGATCCCCAGCCGGCTTGGCCGCAGCATATCAGCCGACTGGCTCATTGCGGAGCGCTGTGCCCGACGAGCCATCACTCAACTCGGCGGCAGCTGGCCAAAACGCGGCAACTTCTCGGCCAAATAACCGACCCGCGAGCGGGCAAATGTCCGCCACCAATAGACTAGATTAGAGATCAGCTCGACTGGAGAGGGCCAAACCGCACTGCTCATTGTTCAACCATACTACAGGCTTCGAGCGCAGTCCACCCAATGCCAGATAACAACTACCGACTCCGGTAACGTAATTCACCACACAATAGCGAAGCTTTCTTTTATTGTACTGATACAGGTCTGTAATAGACCTAACTGCGCAGTGATACTCCTTGCGCCGCAATGGACCTCACTGCAGCGATGCTCTGATACCACTATAATCGTACACGCGTCTCCAGGGGGAAGGGCGATATATATCTCTATGGAAGGGCGCACCTCTATCACGTCAGGTGCCCCTTGGGTTAATCACTGGTCACTCCATTACCGGAGGCCGACAGATAGGAGGTCGTGCCGAAATTGGCTGACGGTGCCGGTCACGGCACTCGTCAGGTCGTCCGGGTCAAACAACAGAGGGGATGGGTAGTGCGAGGGGTCAGCCCGTCATGGACGCTGTCAATGGTCGCTGTTGCCGTGTCACATTCTACTAAAGTTACTGGAAGTTACTGCAACATGCAACTTGCAAGTACTACTTTATTGTACAATTGATGGATACATGTGCAATTTCATATGAGCTATGAGACTAAGTCAGGAATATTCCTTGTCGTTTGTTGACGACAATAATAAATCGGTACATCAGAATGCGGGTCGAATGTCACCGGGTTCACGTAGAAAGGTTACCAGGGCCACGCACCCGAAATCACGTAGAAAGGTTACCAGGGCCCTCTGGGGTCACGTAAGTGTAAACTAACTATACCAGGTTAAAGGGGCTCATGCCCCAAGGCCACAGAGGTCACGTACAAAGGTCACCGGGTGCACGTACTGACCTGTCTGACGTCGTGGGCCAGCAGGACGTACTGTTGGTCCGAGGAGACCCAGTAGTGACGCACTTTGTGCTGACGCTGAAACAACGACACGCCGAGAGGCATTAGTTATACAGCAGACGGCGCATCAGTGTGTCAAGTGGAATTTGAACGGGGCATTATCTTGGTAACATTACAAACGTGCTGAACAAAATGACGTCAAACGTCACGTACAAATGTCTTATTACAGAACATGAGGCGTGTTGTAAGATTGTTCATTATCCATGCCAAAGAAGTGTTATTTTATTGATTTCTGGAAGTAAATAAATGAAAGAGGAAAAGTGTATGAAGACAATGTCTACATAAAGCGAAGCAAATCCTGATGCATTTTTCTGAACCTGACGACTCATGCGTCCAATATGGGTACGCCGGTCTTTGTGTGTGTGGCGGCGTGTCTGAGGTGGCTGGCAGAGGAGGGACCCTGCCGTCGGTTCCCGCAGCTCCGTCTGACGGATGGCCTATCATGGACACCATCGCCGCCATCCTCCGCCAGCGAGTGTCACCAACCGATATGGTGTGATCAAGGGCATCAGCTGCCCCTCCCCAGGATATCCTAGAGAGGGTAGCGACGGCAGAACCGCAATTATTCCTAAATTAGATATGAAACAGTGCTGTAGTTTTTGCACACGACTTGACGTGGTTTATCGACGTCACTAAGTGGCAGCTCTCGTATCCCAAAACTCAAACATTCATGTACCTTATTTGCGGCCCATCGCATTGCAGTCCTGAGTCCACTGCATGGCTGTTGCCAGTTGCCACCAACCCAGCCGTCCGCGGATTTCCACAGCCTAGTTAGACTGTTCCGCAGTGCATGGCGCCATCCGGCACAGTATACCTTTCAGGTTCGTCGCGCACGAGAGAGATCGGGGAGCGATCGTTGCGTTCAGATTATTCTGAAATGTATTATGTATTTAGTTACTTACGAATGTGACATTGCTGACGAGCAGGCGAACGGCCATCGACTCGCAGTTGAGAACGGACAGGCCGCCCCACATGTCACGGTACACCAGCTCGTGGTCTGGAAAGGACAAGTCACAGGGCTATTGGCTAGCAAAATGACGATGAAGCTGAGCGGGAAAACAGTATGTTGGGCCTCATAGCCGGCGGCACATGCATGAGTTAGGAATACTGAAATACAGAGGTAGGTAGAATGCGTTTCATATATTCACAAAAAAAAAAAAAAATACAAGGCCGCATTGTTTGGCAAGAGCCAAGGAAATTAACTGGCACTTGGCAGAGTCAGAAGCAGCATTGGAGACTGGAGTCTTGACAGGATGAATCTGATATAAAATGATACATTGTATTAGTGTTTAATACTTGGAAACGCTGCCTCCAAAAGTAAGTTGAACACTGGAAATGAGTAAATACCACTGTACATCCCCACATTGAATATAGCGTCAAATGTGCTACTTCTGAACAGCTCAGCTTATCATCCAACAAAAACAATAATTCACTGTATTCACTTCAGCATTGTTTGCGGAGCGGACACATCCCTAACAGGCGCATCAAAGGCGCAATCAGAGCGTCCATAAATCCTCGGGGCGAGGACAAACATGTTTGCTGGCCGCGCAGGGCTCGCGCGCGCGGCCTGTGATCCAGTGTTCCGGTGTAGAGCGCTGTCTCCCTGGGGAATGGCGACAGCGACCGCAGCTCGATTTCGGTTATTGTGGTCTCGTAAAGATAGGGAACCACACGAAACTACCGTACAGCGGAAAAAGCACGTCGGCACAGTTGGTGGCGTATGGGTTGCTCGGAAGATTTAGAACAAACATTCTCTAGAACGAAAACAAAGTGGGTGCAGTATGCACACTCTTTAACTGGAAACGACGGTCATTTGCAAAATGTTAGTTTGGAAAAATGATAACTGTAACCGTTATGCCACACACAAGTGGGGACTGGAAAATCGTACTTTAGTAAAAAAAAAAAGACAACAAATATCCTTTACAATTTCAGATGTACACTCGGGGGCAGATTGATGTTCCACCACTCCCTACCAATCGGGCTTCCATGGCTCAGCACTGGCTGCTGCCAGTGTTGCCTGCCCTCATGCCACTGCTCAGCACTGTCTGCCAGTGCCAGTGCTGCCAGTGCTGCCATTGGCAGCAGCCAGTGCTGAACCATGGGAGCCCGATAGGTAGGGAGTGTCGGAACATCAATCTGCCCCCGAGAAAAGCTAAGCTGCTCCATATCATGCATGAAAGCAGATAACCTAACACACCTGCCACCCACAATCCACAGTCCCACTCTCACCTGAGAGCCACGAGCCGTTGAAGGGGTTGACCTTGAAGTCGCCGCTGACTATGTCCTCCAGGGTGAACCTGCTGCCGGTGATGGGTGTGCGGGTGTCGTCCGGGGTCAGCACCACCACCGACACCACGATCATGGAGATGATGAAGGTGATGACCAGCAGGGCAAGGATGATGCCGCGCCAGTTGCGCTGGTTGGGCGCCGTCGCCACCAGCTCCTGAGAGAGAAGGAGGTGTGGGGTTAGTGCCACTGAGATCCATCAAGGGAGTCTTGAGGATAATGAGGTGGCTCCTGAGAACTGTGAACTGGTGCAAACGGATGCGGAAGATACGGGTTTTTGCTATCAGAATCTAAAGGACGAGGAGAGTAGAGGCTGGGAAACCACCCACTCCTGGGGATTGCCACATTGTAACTGATGTACTTCAATCTAAATAATCAATATACCAGATGAATACACCAATATAAATGACAACAAAAATACACCACCGAGTCAGACAAAGTAAAACAACGGCGCTCTAGTACAGCACAAGTCCAGCATACAACATTATCACAAAGAGCGAAGCCACTTCATTGAAAGGGCATGGACCAGCCAGTCCAAGGCACCAGGCCTCGCCGTTCAGTCGGTGCAATGCATGTGCTTGAATTTGAAACGTTTAAAGTGTAAGTTGCTGCTGAAAAGATACCGTCGTGAGAGACATCCGGGTTGCAATATCATCCCCGTAATAAAACACCACTGGCAATAACTTTTGGTCTTATGACGGCAGCAATTTGTTTTGCTCATGTCGCTCTCCCAGCCATGTCCATTTTTCGCGTCCCTGGTTCTTTTCTCGGTGCCGCGCGCGTCAGTCGGTGACGGAGCGTCTCCGCCGAATGCACCCACACCGTTTTCTGCGACGCTGGCCCGCCCTGGATCCCGCCTTCCGCCTCCAGTGACAAAGGCACCCATCATGCTGCCCGTCTCCCGCAGAGTGACAAAGGGATGTCCGGCTCCAGAGGCGCTAATGCCTGCCGCCGGACGGACCCCGCCTCCCCCCTGCCTCCTCCCCCTCCTCCCGATCCCTCCCCTCCCACTCTAACCCCCCGACTGTCCCGCTAGTCGGGCCGCCCCGACCGGAAACTTTACAGCGAGTTGAGCCAGTTTCAGTTTTTAGTTGGCATGCCAGAGCCCAGAGCTTCCCACTTTTCTTCGTTGCTAAAAGGATATCAGTCAAAAGTCGAGACACAGTGACAAACTTTTGTCAAGGTTGCAGAACGGTACTACAGCGACAAATGTGGAAGCTCCAAGAAATTCACTGAAGCAATACTAATATCACTGCAGCATCGGAATTCTACCTTCCATCGGAATGTAGAATCATACTTTGATATGAAATATAGTCTTAGTACACACACTGAACTAGAACAATTTACGTGACGCTCTGCCTTTGAGCCATGATAGCTAGGAATTTGCATACGTACTGCTATTTATGTGACTTTTTTATCAAGTCCCCCATGCCCATTGATGGCATTCTGAGTAAACTAAGCTAAGCTATTTTAAAACATATCTACATATGTGGATTGTAGGATTGTTCATCATCGTTTATGCATTAGCTTACTTTACATCGTATTTTGCCCTCACAATTCATCAGAAGTTAGAATGTGAAAGGGCCGAAGAGGATAAGATACAGAAAGAGCGGGAGAGTGTGTCATGGCAGTGCGGCTCGAATACAGTGATATATTGGAGTGGCTGTACTGCCAATTAAGCTCGCAATTTGTTCTCGTGCTGAACTCTGATGAACGAGCGCACGTGTTCCTCGGTTAATTGGCGGGTAGATCATCAGCACTGAAATTGGTGGAAAATAGCGAACTAAAAGCATTAAATCGGAACACATTTCTTCTGCACCGAAGTTTTTTTTTTTTGCTGAATGTAGATGCTCCATTCCTGGCGACCATTGCGATGTGTTGCAATGGTCAATAACAATGGCGCTCTTCAAAAAACGCCATGTATGTATTGTCTTGACACTTGGCAAGCTTAACATTTTGTTAACCCGCGCGGGGCTGGGGGGGTAAATTTTACCCCCCCTCGCGAATTTTTGCAATATCTCAAAAACGGCGGCGCGCAGCGCCGCCAAACTTTCAGTACCTTTTCTTACATCAATTTGACACGTTCCCTGAAAATTTGAGCGAAATCCGTCGGAAATTTTTTGAGAAATTGACGTATTAGTGACGTCATGTTCGCCATTTTCGCCTCAAAAACGGCAAAAGTTCAAACGCCGCTAACATCTTCATTTTTAAAGGAATCAAGACGTAACAAAAAAGGATATACGTAATTCTACTTTGTCTATCAAATGGCTATCTCGGATTTTTGAAAATTTTGCATTTTGGCCCAATTTTTTTCAAAAAACTGACTTTTTTGGGAAAATAGCTATTAAATCCAAAATTTTGAGTGTATCGAAAAAACCGGAATATATGTCAGAGAAGTGGTCTATGTGTACCTACATACCAAGTTTTAGAAGAATCGGTTCAAAAATGTGGGAGTTATTCAAAATTGTATGACGTCACGACACACACAAATTTCGAAAAAATGACTTTTTTGGAAGTTCTAGACCTCGTACGGAAACAAAAATAGCACCATTCGATTCGCCGTGAAAAACTGCATCAGATAGACACCTTTTTAGGCATTAACAACCAACTTCAAAATTTGACCTCACTTGACCTGACCTTGACCTGACCTCGACCTGAACTTCATCCAGAGGTGGTCCATATCACTTATTGAGTGTGCCTATTGAATTCTATGAGTAAAATGACCCATAAAACATGTGTCGCACTTGCCCTTTTCTATATTTTGTTTTTGGTGACCTGACCTGACCTGACCTGACCTTGACCTTGACCTCTGAATGATATTGTATGCAACGAATATTGTCTTGGTAGCCTAAGAACACGTTTTGGGCGATCAGTCTCAGTCCATGACTTCATTCTTCGGCAACTACGGTGCAAGGCCGATACTGTAGGAACTTGCAATTTGTACCCTTGACCTGACCTTGACCTTGACCTCAAACTTAAAATTAAGTACATGTTTTTAGTTGTTCGTGATGAGATCTTTCGATTGGCGTTTGAATTTTCCAAATCGGACCATTAGTTCGGGAGATAACAGGGGGGGTAAAATTTACCCCCCCCCCCCCCAGCCCCGCGCGTTCGGCTGGAGACCCCAGCCCCGCGCGGGTTAAGCGACAAATATTGCAACATTGCTTTCTGTGGCTTTCTCTAAATAGCATAATGCAGGACCACTGGCTTACGTAAAATGTGCTACGAACCAGCGAGCGCACAGTATTTCAGCCTAGTCCAGTCACGGCTTGGGTCAGCTCAATACATTCCACCGAAACCGGGCCATATTAGTCAGACCATTGCAGCTGGCGCAGTCTAGTCCCGTCTTTGTTCAGTGCAGCTTCAGCTCCAGGCTAGCTCGGCCCATACGTCCCGCCCAATTCCACTCGCAGCACAGTTGCGAGCGCTGATCGGCTGTCACCCATGCGAGATGGCCTTCCTCCAGTGCTGCAGCTGCGTATTGCGTAAAGTGCAGTCAGCAGGCGAGCCAAAACGGACGATTCAAACTGATTAAACCGGAGTGCGACCTATGCACCCGAAACGAACGGGCCACGAACAAAGACACTTCTACCTATACCCTAAGTCAGTATTGGGTTAAGCCAGGTAACATGAAGATCGAACAAAGCGGGCTAGCTAACACAAGCAAGCCATTCTTGCTGATACGCATAAGCAGCCCAAGCAATACATGCTACATAAGTCGATACGCTAAATTGACCGCAAATTGGTGGTGCAATGGCGTTTACACTTCTATCTTATAAATGTAAGTGCTACGAATATATTGACGAATTAACGGAACCGAAGCCAAAGCTAAGCAGAGCTTGTTGCGTAGGACTCGAGCGAGCCCTATACCGTCCGATCGCGTAATTTCGGGTAACGTGAAAATTTACTGAAGTGCCAAAGCTAGGCGTGCCCACTGCCCATCAAACCCATGCTCAGCCCGTCCGACTCAATGGCTGCGGCAGCTCCCACCAGCCTGCAGACCATTCCCGTCAGGAGTCTCATAACATCGAGCGCCGGAGCGACTCGAACCCGGAATGTCACTACCGGGAGTCCAACGCTCTGGTAGCTGAGCTACAGGACATTCTATGAATAAGTTGGTCGGGTTGTAGCTCGAATCAATGATGTGAACATGTTCGTGGAATCAGTTTGACTAAAGCGGCAGACGTCTGGCGCCGGTTTGTAGTCAGCTTTATTGTTGTTTTCTGAATGGAAGTCCTAAAACGTCATCGCAGCATCACTCATTCTTCACGTTCTTTGAGAATTTCTGGAACAAACTCGGCTGAATATCTCGTTTGAATGCATTAGGTTTACTGCAAAGGAAATCATCTACGGCGGGGTCAGTATCAAAAGAAATAAAGCTGTCAGGCCATCAGACAAGCGACTCGTATAAAAAAACATCTATCTTGGGCATAACACTGCGATAAGCCGACCGTAAGGAAATTATGCGGAAGGCACGCTAGTGGAAAATAATGGATGAAATAAATGCATTTATGAGTTCCTGTTCTGCTTTTGGTCACGAGTTCCCACATTCTTGTTCAATTAAGGTGTTTTACCATACCTTAATTTGTACGTTTTTTCATTTTCGCCTGATGTTCTCGGCTTTGTTTTCGTTACGGAGGTCTGCCGCAGCCCGTTTCGAATAGCGTCTCTCATTACGGTTGTGATTTCTCTGTGGCCGCGGTCCGGGCTGGTTCCGGCGCTGTGTCAGCTCGACACGCACCCAGTCTGATTTCTGAGCCGGCTAGTCGGCGACTCGGGCCTGTTTGGCATGCGGACGGCGCCGCGTCTCCTCCGCGGCAGCCGGAAGCCGGCGCTCCGCGGCCTGCGGATAACATTGGGACAAATGTGGGGCACGAAGAAATACGGAATGTCACTGCACTGCGCCATGTGCAAAAAGGTCACCACTACCAGGGGCATGATCAGGAGGTGATGTGATACAATTACGTTTTTATTTCTTTGGAACGTCGACTTATCTAATTTTTTATTCAGGAAATGTTATGCATATCGCATACTCTATAAACCAGAAATATGTGTTCGTAAGAACCGTTATCTAAAATAAGGTTTTCGAAGACGCGTACACACAAATTTACTCCAAACCTGCCTTCAAAACATCTGCTATATAGATTGCCCCCATAC